GACTAAAACTCTTTTGTGAATTGAAAACTATTGATAAGTAAATTAATATGAGATTTAGTGGAAATAACATAATATATGTTATTTCCACTTAGTATAGGTTATTCCCACTCAGGTATGTGTCGTGATCTAAAATTTGTGACACTGACTAAGGTGTCGTGATCCAAAATTTGTGAACGGACTAAGGTGTCGTGGTATATATTTTTTTTGACACATATATAAGTAGACAGCTTGTATACCCTTTAGAAATAATAAGCTGATATATAAAATTTCATACAAGTGATTAAAAAAATATCGATATCGAATTTGACTTTCTAGTCTATTTCCTTTGGGAAGAAATACTTGCATTAGGTTATGACGTACCATTATTCGAGTGATGCGCATTTTGTATTTGCCTCGTCAAAGATGAGTGGGCATAACCTGATTATCAGATGACGTGCATTTTGCATTTTCCTGATCGATTTCGATTATAAGATACTCACTGATTTAGGTTAAGACGTACCCTGCTACTCCTTCTGCGTTTTCTATTATAACCCAAATTCGATAACGTTATATTGTATACCGGTTCGGTGTTCGTGGGTAATTTCCGCTGCAATAGAATAACTGAATTAGGTTATGACGTACCAGGCTACCCCTTCCGCGTTTTCTATTATAACCCACATTATCGCATACCGGCTTATCATTCCCAACCGATTTCCATTGCAATAAAATAGCTGAGGTAGGTTATGCAACTGGGTTGGCCTTAACGTGAGTTTGACGAGTTGATTGCGATATTTGTATGCTGGCTTGGTGTACGTGGCCAATTCCCATCACTAGGTCACATCAGCAAAAAAAGTAATAGTATATCTTGTGATTAATCGCACAAATGCTATATCCAGTTATGCTATATACATGTTATTGGGTCGTGTTATTACAAGTTTGATGACCCGATTGGATTATATCATCATTTGTGGAGGCGTATAGCTAAAGTATATGCTACCTAATAAATTTTCTAGCGCAAAATTCGTATGCTTCGTTTATTCTTTTTTCGAGTACCATCTGTATAAGAAAAACTAATCAACATGTACTGTATATTTGTGTGTACAGAACAAGCAAATTAAACAATGCATGTACATTTTCGATAGTTGTGACAAAGGAAGTTTCTTCGTCATTCAGGCAGGGAACTTGTAATAAAGACATGTAATCCTTCATCATAAATCTTCTATCTTCGAGAGAAAATCATTGTTTCATATGAGCCGATAAATCGATTATTTGTGATAAACCATAGCGTAATACAGCTTTCTCTACAGCTGATAATCTTTTCTTCTTTTTGACTGCCATCACATTTGCGGATATATTCTCAGTGATAATGTTGTAAACGTTTTGTCTCGAGGGCAAGATCCAGCTTCTTTGATTCTTAAGGATGAATTCAAGAGATTCTTCTGGTGGAAGATCTTCTTCATCGTTATGATCAGTCATGATCAGAGTCACCATCCTGAAAGAAACTGTCATCATCCGATGGTACCAGGTTCATAGGAGTCGGCTTCTCAATTTTGGTTCCATCAGGCAATGTATCCCCCTAAAAGAATTAACTCAATTCAGCTTTTATAAAGATGTTTTTGCGGACAAAAATTTAAGTTATATACCAACTTTTTTTCCTGATGATTTTATCTTTTTTGGTGGGTTAGATGGCTTTTCTTCACGAGCTCGCTTATGTCCAGTCACACGGTTTTCGATCTTTTTCGTAACTTCTTTTTGCAGTAAACCACCCCCTGATTTCGGGTTTCTCTCACCGTATCTAGAATGTGTCGGGTCTAAAATTCAAATGGACTTTTGGTATACCAACATCGAAATTAAGCGTAATGAAGAGTTAAATAATAAATTAACATAAATTAACCTGTTCAAGATCAATCTCGTTCTCAAGTTCATTCTTTCGTAGATTCATTTGTAGGTATTAGGAAATGTATTAAAACAAAAATTGCTAAATTTCTGAGACAACCTACTTGTTGCTTCTCAAGCAACTTGCTTTTCTCCTCAAGTAATTTTATCTCCACAGAAATATTTTGCCTCTTCACTTGTAGATCCCAAAAATGATCTATCTGTTCCGAATTCTTATCATTCTTGAAAAAATAATGAGTTAGTGACAAACTATTCTGCTTTGCTTATGAGGTCCAACCACCTTTCCCGGACAAACGAGCTGTCTTTCCCCTACGAACAAGCAGTCCGCAAAGTAGTCCGTGAATTGTTACATACTCACACTAGCATGCAGTCTTTCTTGGACAAACAAGCAGTCTTTCCCCTACGAACAAGCAGTCCGCAAAGTAGTCCGTGAATTACTGCATACTATTATAATTCTCAGACAAACAAGCAGTCTTTCCCTACGAACGAGCAGTCCGCAAAGTAGTCCGTGAATTATATACTTTCAAACAATGCCTTATTCCTCACATTCCCACACCGCTAAGATACCAAGAACTATATATTGTTGTGATAAATGAATGATACCTTGAAATCTTTTAACCATCTTATCACCTTCTGCCCGACGTCAGATGTTTCGTCATAATGCTTTCTAATAGCTTTGTGCGTGTAATCGGAAATTTAAGAAATTCTTAAGTGAAGGTTCCTCCGATTGCTCCCAAAAGGCTACGAACAATAGGTTACATTATATTCGCCATATTGTCACAAGGAAACATTTACGATTTGTCTTACCAGAGTATTTAAGATCTTCGAGACATTCAGATGACAAGCGCATTTTTTACCCTCTTTTTTGCGGGAAATACGAAAAATTAACCGTCCAGAAAATTATCTAAGGAAAAATCATACGTGGAGAAGTTGGAGTTTGAAAGATTCCAAGAAACTTTATAAGAGTGAGAATCAAACAGCATATGGTTCAAAACCAAAAAATTTTTTGAGCCAATCACATTAATTCAGATCTAATTCGAACCAATTATAATCGATTATCTATTTTCCGTCGTAAACGAGAATAGTCTGTAATGAGTTCCTGGTCACTTAATAAAAAATGTTCCTTGGGTTATTTTACATAGGATTTAATAAGACAGATTTTGTGATTTTTTTTCATAGGTACAGTCCACCCTCCATATTTATTTAAGAACAAATTTTCGTGTAACAGATTATCTAAAAAGACAAAAAACCAAACGCGCTCATATGGTTATTTATAGAGAAGCGAATGAAATGTATGATGCTATTAAAGAGGGAGGGAGTACGCGGATCCTAGGCCATTTAATGCGAGTCCCAGCATCATATTATTCCTTTCGAAACTAATTTGTTCCTCACTATAACTAATTACGAGATGATTTCTTTGGAATCGATTCACACTCCCATACTCTTTCTTTGCCTGAAATAAATTTCCAAACCAATATCTACAGAATTTCTGCCTAAATATTAAGTTCTGCATGAGAACTTTCCCAAGATTGAATAATTTCGAATCTACAGTATAAATTCGGGGGATTAGCAACTGAGGTAAAAAAATAATGCAAGACAACATTACCGATTCACACTTACCACTACGACTAATTCTACAACCGCCTCATATGCAAGAAATTTATTGCTTAATTTTTTTATCAATCAAGATGCTTATTATTTCATTGCCGGAAAATTTATTAGATACACTGCACCAAATTTTGTTAAGGCACGTGATGTTAAGCATGTGACGAGATTCATGTGAGTAATTTCACTGTCTATTATATATACATATGCCAAGTAATCGGATCAATGAGAGCAAAGTTTATTTCCATTGATGGATGAACTTTGAATCCTAGAAACAGATTAAAGAATTTGGTATTCAATGGAAAGGTGTTTGGAGAATACGGTAGAAAATCTATATTACTATAAAGAATCAGACCTTTTGAAACTACCCGATTTATTGATGTTTTTAATTCTACTGACTCTCCTCCATATTCGGTTATACTAATCTCATATTTGGCAAGATTTAGTTTGGATGCCATATCAAAATAAAGACCATTATCTGAATCTTCCATTTTAAATAACCACAGTCTTGAAGTTGTTT